CAGTTCGTTCATAAGAAAGAGCTTAAGTAGAGGCGGATCCATGATTATTATTAAGCGTAACTTAAAATTTAAAGAGCGTAAGGATATCACAAATCTTTCTACTAAACGAACTATTGAGATTTCATGTGTGGAATTGGATCAGTTTGTCGTCTTATGTGTATACAGGCCCCCCTCTGCTAATTTTAACGAGTTTGAATTAATTATGGAAGACAGTTTAAAGCGGATTTTTCCAACCAAAAAAAACGTAGTAATATGTGGAGATTTCAATGTAAACCTGTTGGAAAACTGTTCTACTTCTGTAAGACTCATTAATTTATTTCAAAGTTTTAACTTGATTAATCTTTTTTTAGAACCAACTCGCATTACTGCCTCCTCTTCTACTTGTATTGATAACATCTTCTGTAACACAGACGCAGTGTCTAAATCAATAATAAATTGCTTAAAATCCGACCATAGTGGCCAATTGGCTTCTTTTAATTGTAAAATGAGCAAGAAGGTAGACCTTTCTCTGCAGACCGATTACCACAGAACGAATAATTAGATTTCAAAATAATATCGGCAACAGTTTAAATTCCCTATCCCATATACCGGAGGATCCAAATACTTTATATAACACGATATTTAGTTTAATTAAAAATGAATTTGACAATATGTTTAAATCGAAAACATTAACTTTCCATAGAGAGACTAAATTCAACGACTGGGCAACAGTAGGTATTCATAAGAGTAGGTCTCGTTTGTATGAGCTATATGCTGTGAAAACTTATAATACTAATTCCAATTTCATAGAATATGTTAGAATTTATTCGAAAATATTTAAAAATGTTTGTGTAGCTGCTAAGGCTAAGTTTCACAGCGACAAAATTAGACAATCGATAAATAAATCTAAAACTACTTGGAGCATAATAAATAAAGAGTCAGGCAGGGTTAAACTACACGATAGAGATATAGTTTTAGAATTAGACAGCAAACTTATAAAATCTAAAGATAAAGTAGCCCAAGCTTTTGAATCGTTCTTTTCGGAAATTGCTGTGAACACTACAAAATCATTAAATTCCTCCCCTTCACTTGCTATTGATCTCCTAAAGGAAAATGTTAACGTTTGTGGCAGTTTATTTAATTTTCGTCATGTTAATCCACAAGACATCATAAAAGCTTTTAAGTCAATACATGTTAAAAAAACTGAAGATCTCTGGGGCATATCAACTAAAGTTATAGACTCAGTTATTAATCTCATTTCCCCACAGTTAGCTGTAGCTTTCAATAGGTGCGTTGACGATGGTGTTTTTCCCGATTTAATGAAATACAGCAAGGTTATTCCCTTATTCAAAAGCGGTAGGAAAGTTGATCCTAGCAACTATAGGCCCATTTCAATTTTACCAGCTTTAAGTAAAATATTCGAAAAGGTTATGCTAACTCAATTACTGTCCTATTTCGGTAGGAATCATATTTTTCATAGTGAACAATACGGGTTTACTAGCTACTACTAGTGGTAGATCGACTAGCGATGCGGTAGCGTTACTAAAACACATCTTTGATGCTTGGGAAAGGTCCCAGAACGCTATTGGTGTTTTCTGTGACCTCTCAAAGGCATTTGATTGCGTTGATCATAATACTCTTATTAGGAAGCTGGAACATTACGGCGTAAATGGCAAGGCGTCGAAACTTGTCTCGTCATATCTCAACGGTAGAATTCAGAAATTAGACATAAATGGAGTGATTTCTTTGGGTTATCCAGTAAAAATGGGTGTTCCGCAGGGCTCAATACTTGGACC